CCTCTGGCCCTGCCACTGGCTGCCGCCTGCCACCGCCAGAGTTCAGCAGTAAGCGTACTGGTAAACCTTATGCTTATCGGTATGCTTTTTGGTTAACCGTTTAATCCCTCTAAAATAAGCTATGCAGTACTGACAAAAGGACACCTCCCTGACCAGTATGTCAGTGAAAATGTTTAGTGTAGACCTGGCATCAGTGTAGTGTTAAAAAGGCCTGTGTGAATAGGGTAGATCAGTGACATTTACCATACTAGAGGTTCTGGAAGACAGGGCATAAACTTTCTATGTTTCCATTCCCCAGCATCACTAAATTCCATTGGTTGTATATGGGGTTTTGTCTGTGTAGATGTTGGAAACAATTGCCAGCTTAATTAATCTGTGACTGAACAGTAAACAGTTCAATATTATCTGCATGACAAACTGCATTCCCCTTTATCTGGTCATTTTGCAGCATCCCTTTTTCCAGGCTCAAAGTGTAAGAGTAACTGCCCGGTCTGGAAGTGGAAACAAACCACGTAGAGAAACAGAGGGAGAACAGTGCTGTTTGGTGCCTTTTCTTTTCTTGAGTGCAGTCTCTGAAAGGGAAAGCTGTTCTGTGCCCTTTCAGTCCACACATCTTGTCCTGAAAGTTTATGAAGACCCACAGTGTTTTCAGGTTGAAAGCTGACCTGCGCCTGGCATCCTGCAAAGTTGTTTAGAGAGACTTCTCTGCTACTGCTTCTGTTAGGCTTTTCTGACCTGGGCTCCAGAATGTGAATTCAGGGAATTGAACCGTTCTAGGGAGAGCAGAATGAGATGCAGTAAGGTGTTTCTCTCTTTAGTGTCTTAGATTTGTTTTGCCATTCATCAGCCGTCAGTATCCAGGAAAGTGTCAGTGGTCCAGGCACATACCTCTGGAAATGCAGTGACATCACTGAGAAAGTATAGGTTGCCGAGAGATCTCAGTGGAGGTTTGAGGGATCCAAGCATGGATTTGTGGTTTCCTGAACTTCAGTCCCAGCAGTTACTCATAGCCTGTTGCTCTTTACGAGCTTCTCTAGCGACTTTTGGAATTTTATTCCTCATCTGATCCCAGGTTCTCTAGTCCTGCTGTCAGAGAGACTGGCTTTGCTGCACTGACCATACATGGCCTTCCTAAGGAGGGCCAATACCTCTTGGATAAGAAGTAATTTTCCAGCTTCTTGAGGCAACC